GTTTGTATCGACAAAGACCTACAAACCCTGAAAGTTTCATGCGATTTAGAAATACTTATAGATTATGTGGGAGACAGCTCGTAGAATACTGCATATCTCTCTCCCGTTAGTCTACGATCAAGTAAAACGAGCCTTGATAAACTTCACTTGTTTATCAAAAAGAAAAAAAGTTACATTTCATAAATTTTTGGTTGATAACGTACCACTTTTCATTACGACTACAGTTTATGTTTTCACTAGAAATTTTGTATTTAGCGATGAAGATGTTTTTAAAAGAATTTCATAAAATTCATATTTTTTTTTATTGACATATTGTATGTCCTATCATATTCCTATTAAAATGTCTCAAAATGTCATTGAAATCAATTATTAACATATTTCATTTTAGTTTTAAATACAAACGAACTTCCTATAGAAATTATTGTTTTTTTTTAACGAATAAATGATAAATCTAACTTTTGCAAAACTAAATTTATCTACAAACTATAAATCAAAACGTTGAAGGTAAATAGTAAAAAAGAATATTTCAAACATGAAATACCTATATGAGATTTTAATCGATACATTTTGATTGTATTTTTTGTCGAACATATATTTTCTATCTCTATATTTTTGTATATATACTGAAATAGAGTGTAAACATTATCAATATTTAAATACATTTGTTCTCTTCACTGCTTTCCATATAATAAATATTCCAACAAGACGTTTATCAATTTGACTCTCGTTTTTAAACACCGAACAATCTATTCTTAACTTGATTGAGATAAAACAAAACTTAAACTTGGTTAGAATGTATTTACTTTTTATTGCCAGTGGAAGTAAATTAAGTTACATGTTTTATGTCAATTCGATTCATTGATTTGAAAATATTCTTTGAAATAAATTAAAGAATTTTATTAGTTTTTTAGTAAAGAAGACAATTCATCACTGTTATCTATGTTAACTATTATAATCGATGTTATTTAAAAACACACACATATATATATATCCATATGTATTGTCTCTTTGTCTGCGTGTTATTCTTGTAAACATACATGCACAAACGAAGAAAAAAAGAGGTAAAATGACATGAAATTCACTGCTACTGAGTAGATAAGACTAGGAGAAAATGAAAGAATGCGACGAAAAAAGAGAAGATATTTAAAAATGTACAAGAGTATATGAGAAATGAAAAGATATAAGAAAAATGATGAAGACTACACCGGTGTCTCGCGTATCCATCTAGTAAATGTTTGTTTTATATTTGCAAGAAATATGTGACGAGCAAGCACTGTTCGATGATGATCATCATTATTGTTTGTTGACATTGTTGATACTAAAGTCATTTTTTTGTTATTGAAATTTTCATGTTCAATTTTTGAAGGATTCATTGTTGTTAATGATGATTCAATTGGTTGGAATTTATTATTCATTATTTCCGATGAATTTAATCGAGTTATATTATTAGGAAATTTTACAGTTTTTAATTGTGGAATATTGTCATTTGTACCTTTAAAGAAAGATAAAGTTAATTAGTTAATAAATGTATTTATGATATTATTAGTAAAACAATAAATATAAGCCATTAGAAATAAATAAATATGAAATAATACATTAGAATAAACCAACAAAGTAAAACAAAAGAAGAAGAAGAAGATAATGATGATGATGCAGTAGCAGATTTAGGGATGAGGGCGCTGAGGGTGATCATTCCCATTTCAAATTTTTTTTTTCGGTCTTTCCCAGCAGAAAAGAATAAAAAATGAACTGATATTGTCTTTAATGAGCTTCAAAACACGTTTCATGATCAATGATCGCTGCTCATCCTCATGGAAACGTCCCATATTACCTCGGAGGTGCCCCATATTAAGATAAATTCCTAGACCGGTCACTGTGATAATGATGACAATACTGATGCTATTATTAGAATTTTATAGAAAAATAATGTGTTTTGAAAGAAATGTGGTGATAGATTTTGGCATCTATTGCGAAAACAAATAGACCGTGTAATTTGTATGTATTCTTACAATACGACTAGATATAGCATTCATTATGATGGTATTTCTGCTAGAATAATAGAAAAATTGAGAACATAGCTCTAACTAACAATCATATTGTGTATAGATGAAAAGCATGCGAATACCTCACACCAAAAACAGAAAAGAAAAGCAACATTAATAACAAACGTAATCAATTATTCATGCAAAAACAAAAAAAAACCCATACTGTAATATAATACATTGTTATCTATTCATAAATAGATATATATATATCCAATGTGAAATTACAAATAGAAATCACATATGAAGCATTAAATAAAGTGCATTAATCAAAATCAGTCAGTCACTGTTAAGAGATAAGAAGAAGCAATCATGAAAAAAGGACAACAGAAAAATTAAGGAGTCATTGTTGTTTGTTTAAATATAAATTTCTTTACAACATTTTCCTTTTTTAGTGCTTCATAGATTTCTTTTTATTATACTTACATATAATAAACACAGGCAGACAGTCAAATATATTATTTAAAGAATAATGCAATGAAGAAAACGATAGACACGTGAAGATGATGTTGGTAGCGATGATGATTTAGGTAATGATGATGGTGGGGGTGATGGTGGCAATGGTGGTGGTAATTCAATAGAAGGAGAATCTGATAAATGATTAGATGAATTAAGAAGTGTTGTAGAACGACTTCGAGTTAATGTTGTTGAATACATTTCATCATGTTCTACATAAGCATTTGAACTAAATGCTCGACGTAATGGTATAACAATATCAGGTTTGTTATAATCTTGTAAATCATTTAATTCAATATTTGTATTATTATTTTTATCATCTGTATCTGATGATAATGATACATCATCAATAGGTGATTTTTCTGTTTGATCATCTGAATACCATGAACCAGTTCGATGACCTAATGATGTCATATATGCTACAGCTCGTACTTTTGCCCAGAGTTTACTACTATTAGTTATTGTTTTCATAGGTCGTTGTCGAAGTTTAGCAAACCACCATTGTGGTAAAAGTGTTGGTTGAATAAATACAGCATAATCATGAATATTATAAAGATTGATATCGTTTGATGATAATTTTACTTCGTTTAAAATAAAATCTGATGTTATATTTGCATCATTTTTTCTCGTAACAGTGACAGATGATTTTTCTTGATCGTTAGTATTATTATTGTTATTATTATTATTAGTTGTAGTAATAAATGTTTCACACGAATCTATATTAGCTAGTGCAAATTGATGTTTGAAATTAGAACAATATAGAAAAGAAAAAAAAACATACTGATCAGAGATGATGGAGATGTAGACCAATCTTGTACCAGTTGCGTTGTTAATGCCAAATAGACTGGCTAAAAAAAAATTAGATTTTTATATTAACAAAAAAAAAATATTCAAATAAATTAATTATATGTCAAACCTTATGATCACCCATACACACATCGTCTCCAAGAGACTTGTATATTGGACGATTAATCTAAAAATTTCATCAAGAAAAATAAAATAAAATAATATTAAATGATTTTATAGTTTATAAAGAAAAATAACCTCGGTGTTAACAAAATTTTTAAATGAATGACTCAATAGGATACGATCACACCAAGCTGGACATCGGACACGTAAATAAGAATGAGCTTCAGCGAGTTCTTCACTGTATGGATAACTAAAACCAAAAAATAAGATTTGTCTTACGATAAAAACAAAATAATAAAACGAATAATTTCTTTTTTTCTTCTTGTATTACAAACCTCGGTGGAAAACTTTTTTCATATTCAAATAATTGATCACCAAATGATGAAAATTCATAATCGAACATATGAAACTAAAATATATCATACGAAATGAAACAAAAAAAAAACATTTCATACATAAATAAATTCCAACATAGACGACGCATCTACACTACAAAATGTAGCCATTACTATCGCACAGACAATTTGAGAATGCAATAAAAATGTTTCGTTTCTCGAAATTTTCTGTCCTTCTAGTACATACTAAAATTAATTAACCCACCATAGTACATATGTTCAATATCTTGAGAATGAGAGTGAATAATTTTTAAGACATCCAGTGATCTTTTATATGATTATCAAAATGTAAGCATACTGTGATCAACGAGAAAGAAATAGCGAAGACTTCGATTTCTTGATATCATATGAAATCTTCTGAAGTCTACTATTACTTCCTTACTGATCAGTAAACGAAAGTTAATAACATATAAATATTTGAATTTTGTTTAATTATTTTACAATAAAACATACATACACTTATTTAAATCGTACTTAATATATTGTCAATATGAGTTAATACTGCAACTTTCGAGATATCATATCATCTTTACGAAAAAATTAATTTAAAGTGAAAAACTTTTGCTACCATGCTGTCAATTATAGAATATAGTGAAAAGAATCTGTTTAAAATTTTATTGACTCTTCTAAAAGGTTGAATATATAAGTCATTCATGAATTCTAATAAAAAACGATGATATGATAATTATACAAAACTATTTTAATTAAGAATCTCATAAATTTTTTTAATGTTAATAATATTTATTTCTTTTTGAATAGACTATTGTTTATTATTTTATTAAAATTTTTATTACCTGTTGAGAATCAGTACTAAAAAATGAATCATGATCATCATGAAGATTAAATTCTTTTTTTCCAATTGTTAATTTTAGTTTATTTTGTGTATTTTTTATAATAATTTTTGAAAGTTCATCACTATCTTTTTTTATTATTTTATCAACTGAACCAGCTCGTTTTTCAACAATATCCTATTGAACAAAAAATAAAAAAATATTCAAATTCATTATTGAAAAATATTTACTTGAAGTAAACGATGACAATCAAGTCGAAAATTAAAATCACCAAATATAACATATGGTACATCCGCATCAGAAGAATTAAGTGACAAACTAATTTATATAAATCATTATTAGGAAAAAAAAACTATATTAAAACATTCTTATACCTTTGTAGAGTAGATTCTAGAGCATTTTTCCGAAATGTACTGTATACAGAAGGACTCTGTTCAACAGCTAAAAGATTTGAAGCATCATGGAAAAGATGTACATTGACCATGTCAAAAATACTTATCAACAAAAAAAAAAAACAAATCATATAAATCAAAGTTATCTAAGTAATTTATGAAATTCTTTTACAAATCATTTATTGACCAACGTGTTTGTGTAAAACCTTTTCGAGACCATTTCGACTAATTAAAAAAAAAAAACAAATAAGTTATTAGAAAAAAAAATTTTTTTTCGATTATTGTTACTTCTGAAAAAAACTCTCGAGGAAATTTTTCTTTGCGTACTGTTTGAATATGAACCAAATTACCAGTATGAATTTGACGATTAGTAACATATTCAAAACATGAAGCTAATTGATAATAAAAAAAAAAATATCATTAATAAATAAAAATTTCAATAATAATTTAGTTTTACTTGTGAAATTCCATTGTTGTATAGATAGATTCTGACGAATAAAGTAAGCTGAGCCAAGAGCCTAGAAACACGTATTTATAATAAACAAACTTTTGTTCTTTTTTTATTTCGAGAAAATTTCTATTTACTGTAAATGTATCCTGAGATGTATAATCCGAATCAAAATATAAACGATAACGAGTAAAATCAGTACTAATTTCAGGTATTTGAAGAATACTTCTATTAAAATTCAATATGAACAATGAGAATAAAAGAAATCGAATGAAATTACTTAATAAATAAATCCAAAACATGCATATAGTTTTCATAATCTTTTCCACCAATTTCTTGGCAATGTAATGCAATAAAATCGGATGGATAACGATGTATAAGCTAAAATAGATAAAACATATTCAATAATTTAATTAAATACTCAGACGCCAAATTGAATATTATTGTTTCTTTTTTTTCTTTAAATTTCTTTTTATATGACGACTTTAATTAATAATTGGTTTAAACAAACATTTATTCATTATGCATCATCAAATCAATTTTATGATAAAAATATAAATGTAATTTCTTTAGAACCTATTAATATCAATCAAAATTGTTTATTAAATAAAACAATAACTGATCAATGTATTATTGTTGATAAACCATCAACAATGTCTGATGCAGATACAATGCATTATAATGATGAAAAAAATAAAAATAAAAATTTTCTATTAGACAATTCAACAGAAATGAAATTATCAGATCAAAATACAATTTTTATTGATAAATTTAAAGCATGCTTTATTGATTGTGTATGCCAATGTGAAGTAAGAATATCTGAAAAATGCCCTTTTAAGATGAAAAAACGTATTTCTCTTTTTTTTCTTTTCAGGCAAGAAAAACAATCCCTGAAATACATATACACGAATTTAATAATAGCAAAAATCAATTATTTGAAGAGCTCTTTAACCGAATACGTGGGTCATCATATGGCATTCGTTGTTGTTGTAATTGTGGAAAAAAAGGAATGAGAAAAGTGAAATTTAACTACGTTAATAGCGATGAAAGAAGTATTTTTTATTAATAATTGTCAGTATTTTTTCTTTTTTAATAAATCAATATCACTTGTGTTTTGCTTATCTTGATTTTTTTTCTTCTATGTCTTCCATTTTTGTTTATCTCCTTACTTTATAATAAAAAATGACGATGAAATCACGCTTTCTTTTTCTTTCTTATTTTTCTATACTAGTGATAAATGATGCTCTCTTGATATTACTCACATTTGCGAATTCGGTCACCCATGCAGTTAATAATTCGGGCTAAAATAAACGAAAAAGAACGGATATAAACGTATAGAATAGAAAAAAAAGAAAAAGAAAAAGTACAGGTACCTTTTCAAATACTGTGCCTGTATTAGCTGTCACAAATAAGAATCGAATATTTGATTGAGTTTTTAAAAATGAATTCTCGCTATTCATGATCATTTATCAATGAAGAGTAACTCGATATTTTGATTGTCCATAATAATATTAATGTTGATGTTTGTAATCTCTATCTATCTAAAGACATAATTCAAATGACAAACGCATTGCTGTCTATTACATGTATACACATAAAAATTAGATAAAACTAGGCAAATGTATCATATGACATAATTTCTAAAAGATGTACCATAACGAAACAAATGAGTTGTGGTAAAAGAATAAATATATAAGTCGAGAAAAAAAAAGACAGGTGGCGGATAATTAGTTGATGACATAAAAAAAACGACGAGATTTGGAAATTTCAGAGATCTGTACAAATATAAATATCGGTTCGAATAGCGTCTCTATTGATGGGAGGAAGTTATATAAAGAGGAAAATATCTTCTGCCCGATTGATAGGTTATAGAATAGTAGTAGTGATGATGATGATGTGATGATACATACTTGCCCAGCGCCGTTGCCGCCGCTGTTGTTACGGGTCTTTTTCTCTTCGCTTTTGCTCTTTCGTACAGTTGAATGTATAGCAGAACATATAAAGCAAAACGAGGCGAGTAAACGAGCAAGCAAAAAAAAAAGAAAAAAGAAAGAAGGGAATCGACACTGCTGTCGATGACGTACATAGGCCTCTTTCTCGTTTGACACACAACAACACCGTATGGCTGCAATCATCGACTTTCCTCTTCTCGGTTCTCCCATCTCATCAGGATAGCGCGCGCATGCATATACCATATAATTAAAATAGTACTTATGTTGTTGCTTGTCGTTTGAATGAATGAATATATCTTTGTTCTGTCTCTATGTATATACATGTATCGTATTTTTTTTTCATTCTTAGTTTGAAGTGCACTCGATATAATGTGAGTCCTCAAATGACTCTACAATAAAAAAATATACAAACGTAATGACGTCAATCCTTTATAACAATCATACGATTGACACAAATTTTGATTCCTATTTTTTTTTACCTCTACCTTCTTAAAATTAAATGTATATGTATATTCAAAAAATAACAAACAGAATCACTTTTGTCACTAGTATAAGTGGCATCAGATGGACAAGAGAGAGAGAGAGAGAAGAAAAAAAAAGATTATCTGGTACCACCTGTTGTCATCATTTAACGAATAGTATTTTAACAAAAGCAACATTGGTAATTTGAGGCTATCAATAACTAATACGTATGATTGAAAAAAAATAATAAAATGAAATTAACTTACAACGATAGTTAATGCTTGGATTAAACATTCAGAAACTATCAACATTCAATTGTATTATATCATAATCATGCATTGAAGCAGTAATAAAATAGATACAACCATCATTTTTTATTCATTATTTCTATCAATAGAAAACTCTCGCTCTATTTGTTTTCTTTGGAATACATGCATGTGACACCAGGAAAATAAAGATGTAGGTTTATTTCTGTTGTTGACTTCTAATGATGCGACACAATAACAAAAATATAGTTTTGCATGCTGTTGCCTCATGCACACAAGCATCGTGCCATTTTTCTTATTTCTCACCCAATGCCTAATTAAAGCTTTTGTTTTTTTATCGAACTTACGAAAAATATGGAGCACATACACGCGTATACGACGATGATAAAAAAACGTGGATGCGTATAGACAAACAATAAGCGAAAGAACGCATGATAGTAACATAATGCGCACACATAGATACACATAGTTGTCCATTGGCGATCACAAAATAATAACAACAAAAACTGTGGGAAGCAAAGGTTATAGAAATTAAACATATGTTTGTCATTTACATAAACAAGTTTCTTTTCAAATAGAACTGTACTCATATTTTTTAACATCAATAAAAATAATAATAATAATAATATAACCCTACAGGAACTCACTATTAATACATTAATGGAAAAACTTTTTTTTTGTTCTAGGAGAAGAAAAAAACACGAATAATAATAAATTCTTTTTTTTTGTTTCATTGGTACATAATTAAATATATAGATACATATTTCGTATATAGATTACAATTAAATACTTATGTAGGAAAAAAAAAACAACACAGTAATGAAGAGAAAATTATATAGTTCTTTGAAAGACATGTTAAGAAATTTTGTCTTGCCATTTACACCAGTACTGTTATTTATGTAATTGATTGCGGTTTTTTTTCGTGTATCATATTTTCTTTTAACAATAAAGAAATGAGATATATGTGAAAAGAAATTAAAAAGAATTTCTACATATACCACTGTTCTAATATTTATGTATGCTGTTACATCATTTTGCAAGATGAAAATAAAGAGATTATTTTGTCATTAAATTATCACATTAAGAAGATAACGAGAAAGAAGTACTTATATTATCCGAATAAACTCAGTAAGTATATATATATATATATATATATATATATATTATTTTTATCTTTTAACGATGAAATCGATTGACTAATAATTTAAGTTGTCCTTTGGAATCGGCTGTAACCATAACATAAATAGGTCCATTATTATTTATTGAAGAAGATAATTCTGTTGGACTTGATGGCGCATGTACACAAATAAAACGTGTTCGATTATTATTAACGATTGGTGTTGTTGTAGACATTGCTGTTGACAAAGAACGAAGTGCATTAATTACATTATTAGAACGATTCGCTAAAGATAAATTATCATTTGATAATGGGACATTTGATGAATAAAGATAATCCATAATTGCCACCGGATTTGGTGCAAATATTGCAGATGTTACCATTGTATTATGAACTAAAAAAATCAAAAAAAAAATAATGTTTTTTCTTTTGTTGGTCTATTGAAAGAAAAATTCAAAGATTTTAAATCACCTCGAATACGTTCAAATACACGATCAAAATGACGTCGTTGTTTTCTTGTTAATTTAGTATTCGTTGTATTAGTACCATTTGTATTTATCATACTACTTGGTTCCGTTCTCCATATATAAAACCAACTATCTTCACTCCCACTAAATTTATATAAATAAAGAATAATAATAATATTGCAAAAAAAGTAGATTTCTATGAATTCTATACCTAATTATATATTGATCATCATGACTAAATGATGCACGAATTTGACTTGATTGATTTGAATAACCACGATATTTACGTTCAATTTCTTTTGTTCGAATATCATATAAACGTATTCGAGAATCATTAGATGTAATTAAAACCTAGAAAATTTCAAATCAACACTAATTCTTATAGATTTTATCTATCATACTTTTGAATTATTTGAATTCATGGATTCAATTCCTGTTATTTTATATGGTTTTCGACGTTTTTTTCTTGATCGATGATTTCGACTACCATGTTTATCACCGATATTCATCACAGTCTTTAAAAAAAGAAATAATATAGTATAAATTAAATAAAAATTAATATTAAAAAAAAACTAACATCATATTGTAATGAGTCTGTATAAAGTAAAAATCGACCATCAAATGTTCCAACAATTACTTTACGACCATCATCACAAAAATTAACAGCTGTTATTAAATTGCCTTGAGCAGCAGTTATTGGTGATGATGCTTGAGCTGGTATTGAAGTCCAATAAACAACACGTTTATCAGGAATATTCCAAAGTCGAACATGTCTATACACAAAATATAAATATTTACTAAAGTATAGAATTATTATACTATTAGCTTTCAATCTAAGCAAAATATTTATATGAAATTGAAACTAATCGTAAGAACAGAAAGGATTCATTTCTGTCATTTTATATTTAACAAGTCATATTTCAATGTTAGCATAAGATTTATAATAACAAATCAAAAAAAAAAAACATAACATTTTTTGATGGCATTAGTTTGGTAAACAATTTCATTCGCCAAAATGAATGATGCATGATTAGATATTATAAAAAATATTTATATGATAAAACATAGGCAGCTTTCATAAAATTATTATAGCGCATAGTACTCAATGATTGACTGTAGCAGATTTACCAATGTCTAACTTATCAATAAAAATTTTGATCAAATAACTGTACTAAGAAATTCATAATTGAATAAATACACATATGTTCTTTTTTATTTTTTTTATATATATTAACTTACCCATCTAAACTTGCTGATACAAAATATCGATCATCACGTGGATGAAATGCAATAGCTGAGACAAAATCAACATGACGAAAAAAACATAAACATTCAAGTCGACTTAAATGCCATAATCGTACAGTTTTATCCATTGATGATGATAAAAGAAATAAAGATTTTGACCAAGCAACATCAAGTACAGGTGCTTGATGACCAATAAGTTGACAAAATGGTCGTGCATAAAGTGGAGCTTGTATTTCATTAAGACCAAGTTTTGTATTAATTGTTGGTGTTATTAATTCTGATGATATTGTTTGATGAAATTCATTAAATCTTCTTGTTAAAATTTCATTTTGTTGTTTTGATGGATTTGTTGTTATATGAGAAAAATCATTAAAATAAGGTTGTGCTGATTTAAGTACCCAAATTTTAAGTAAACTATCTTGACCACCGGTTGCAAGAAGATGACCATCAGGTGAAAATCTATATTTAATTAAGAAAAAAACAACATAAAATAAATTCAATATTGTTTTATTATTCTTTTTGTTTTTTTACTTCATACACCAAATAGGTCCATTATGAGCATTAACAATTGTTTGTAATAATTGTGTTTTATCAAATTGTGGTTGTTCTTTTAAATTTCTTGATGTTTTATATTTAAGATCACCATTCGAACCATCATTTATTAATAATCTTTCACCATCTTCTTCTTCTTCATCCATATCAGCAATATCATGATGTCCTTGGCATTGTTTTTTTCGATTTTTACGTAAAAATTTTCGACTAACTAATCTTGTTAATTGTCGTTTACCATCATGAAATAGTGATGTTGCTATACGTATAGCAGTTGCTGAAGATTTATTTGTAGATGTCGATGATGATAATGAAATAGCTATTGTATGACTTGATTTTGTACTTGATGATTCTGTTGATGTAGATTCATTATCATCATCTTCATCTTCGTCACCATTTGATTGATGTAGTTGACGTGTTAAACTTGTTTCTAAATTATTTGTTCCATTTATTGTATTATTATTATTATTATTATTATTATTATTATTATTATCAAATGAATTTTGTCTTATATTATTATTATTATTATTATTTAATATTGAATTTTGACGTAACGTTATCATACTACTACTACCATGAACACGTTCCAATATTGTTTGTGTCATGGGATTTGCATCACCTAATCGACTATATTTACCATTATCAAGATTATGTATTATAGATTGTCGATGTATTTCATTTTCATTTAATCTTTGATTATTTGTTGATAAATCACTCATTTTTTTTATAGAATCAATATGATTTAAATCAACAATATTTGGTTCACTAATAGCTGATAAATTTGTTATTCTTGAATAATATCCATCACTATTACGAGTTGATATAGTAACTGGTAATATTGGATATGGTAATGAACGTTGTTGTTGATATAATTGTGTTGTTGGACATGAATTTATTAGAATTTGTTTTGGTGTAGATAATATTGGAAGCTATTATGAAAAAAACAAAAAACATAGAAATTATAATAGAAATAAATGATTGAATTCTATTAAATATCTAGAACTAAACAAGTAGTAAGAGAATGTTGTTGTTTCTTTTGGACTTTTTCTTTCAAAAAATAAATTCAAAGAATATTTTAAGCGTATCTTACAAACAAACTATCGATATCTTCTGTTATCATGAAATTTAAATAAAACAGAAAATCATATTGATTGATTAAATAGAAGATAAATGCATATTTCAATAATCATAGTACAAAAATCGTGTCAATATACATGATATTCCAAATATTCATTGGGAAAGTTAAAATAAATATCTCTTGTACAATTCAAGAAATTTAATTGATTTTTTTTTAATAATATATTTTTTAAAGTTTTGTTCTGTATATTTTAAGATAAATGTCTATACTTATGAACATTAGAATAAAAATAATTGTATAAATAATCAAATTTGAGTCACCTATAATTGTAAAACAAAACCTGCAAATCAAATTCAATAAAAACAGAGCCAATGAAGATTGCATCAAAGTTTCATTTTAATACTTTTGTGGAATTGGTACAGTAGAAGGCCGTCTAAAATTCCAGAAGAAAAAGTCGACAAAGTTTATGAA